TTCAGTCAAAGCTGCAATAGAGAAAGGGTGCTTACCGTATCCAACCAAAGAATTTTGCTTGGAGATTCATCATGGAAAGAATGTGTTATTTCAACACTGAAGATTACTTACACAACAACATTTTCAAGAAGTCTGCTACTTTTATGGACTGCGAAAAGAACTTAGCTAATAAGCTTACCACGGCCATGATAACTGACACTGCAATATTTTCTGAGTGAATATACGGAGAAGTGGTTGAGACCGTAGCCATCTGAAAGGACGTGGCTTCTGTATCAACAAAAACCAAAAAACTTTTCATTAACGCTAAACAAAACACAAAAACAAACCTCAAGACGAGACTCCTATCCGAAATTGATTCTTTGAATCGCAGATCCTGAAACGCTTTGAAACTCAAGATGATCACTGTGGTATCATTCATTTGTTCGCCTATTCGTCTGCACGAAACGCACATCACTCAGTTATGCACCGACAAAAACCAAGAAGTGTTCGTCATTGCAGTAGTACTCTAACACGAAAATGGTATAGCTGCAAACAGCATTTAAAACACTGTTCTTTGATAGTCTACCTCTCAAGTGTAACTGACTGGGTGCTCTCAACGTCGATCTTTGTTTATAGAAAACCCCAGTGTAGCAGGTTTCCTAAATTTGCTCGACTTTTCTATCCTTTTATATAAATTTTAGCTCACTCTCATTATTTCAGAGCTAGAAGACATTTTTCTATGGGTTATAAATTTGGAAGTTTTACGCATGTGTAGTCTCCTTCAAAGGACTAGCACTTATTGAGCAGGTTTGGAGGGCGACGTGCTTATAAGGCATTTAATAGATGTCAATTAATCTAATTGACAGCTGATGAGAAAGAGACTGATTTGTGTTATGCTGCTTAGAACACGTTGCTCTTGAAAATGAAAACAGTGAACTTAATGGATTCTTTTAATCTACAGGTTCAAGCTTCATCGCACAAAAGTGAAGTAAGCGAAATTGTCAGAAAGGAGTGAAGAACTAAAGAAGTAACCGACTGATTCGTCCGAAGATGGTTCAAAGAGAGTTACTAAGAATCCTTATTCTGAGAGAAGATTGATATACTTAGAAATATTTTGCAAAAGAACATTGCAGTTCGAATGAGATAGTAGTAGTTGATCTCAGGCAAATGTCACGAAAAGCTGCGAGATTTTTGTTTACAAACACATTGAGATAAGGTAAAGACTTAGGCAACGCATGCCAAACTGTGAGGCTAATGTGCTTCATAGGACATAAAATGCAAAAGTATAGGCAAGCGAAGTGAAAAAATCAGATGGTTTGAAATGACAATAAACTATTTGCAGTCCTGCAGACCAAAGCTGCCATCACATGAATATTATACTGAAAAAACTGCTAAACTTCCAACATAGGAGCATCGTCACAGCTTATTTATTCCCATAGCAGTATTCGCTCCTTCGCTTACTAAACGATAGGTGGTGCGTGTTGCTACAGTTTGTCCTCGCTATTCTCATCATTCCTGTATTTCTAACTGCCCCTGGGGTAGCGTTTGTACGTATTATCGTCCGTTCCACGTCCATACACATTATTGTCGTTTTTGAAAAAAAGTAAGACGTAACAGTCAGTTTCACTGAGGATTAAGATTAACTAACCAGATCCATGAAACTATTTGGAATCTATGATTTTGGATGGTTTGCAACACTACGATTCACAAAAAATACTGCACCAGTCGCTTATGTCGCAGAATTCTTCTGCGCATTCGTAAATGCCTTTCCATTTATTAACCAGTGAATTTTGGGCAGCAACAAATAAGTTAACAGAAAGACTGAATAGAAAAATGTTGTGGTTGATGAAACACAACGGACGGCAACCTCAGAGATTTGACACTGTATACTGGCAATGGTGAGGGACCGCCTCCATTTGATACAAAATAAAGCCTTTTGCCACAGTGCAATGTGTAAATGGTTTGTAATAATCGCTTTGTAGATTACATTAGTTGTTTACGACGCAAATGATAATCCAGTTTGCTTACAATACAAAGTGATATATTTATGAGAATTTCAACGTAAGCATGACGAATATGCAAGAAAAAAAACTCTTGAAGTGTTTTGAATCAACCTCTGAGAAATTCGCTGTTGAGTTGATTATTTAAAAAAACGTATCTTGTCTTTCTATTGTTTCTGACTGCTTTGGAGATTTTGCTCAAACAAGTATAGTCTGATAACATATTTTGAGCCTTTCGTGCGATCTGTTATGGAACTTATCCGGCGTCGGGTCCTCTATGTAGAGAGTATTGCCACGCAAGGAACTGACCAAACCGAAAGGCACAGTGCAACTGACAAAATTCTAGTGCTGAAACACGTGACTTGCACTGCATATGTGCAATAGATTATCCTACTTTGAGCGACGTCTCAAAAACAGTCCGAAAAGAAAAGTATGATGATGTGCCATGGATGAATTTTGGATCTACCAGCCGCCATCCATCGACTGAGAATTGGTGATGCCCCAGTGTTATTGTACATTGCGCCGTCACCACATATGTCTCTCTCCCTGCTACAACGCAGGACTTAATGTGGGGCGTGAGTTACTGACGACGACGGCGAGACCTCCGAAACACGCGTGTATGACCCTGGCGTACCAAACGCGCGTAAGGCTTCAAACATTCCTGAAAATTAGATTGCATGATAATATACGTTTTACCACTTACCTGCAATCGACTGTACGACACGGCTCGTTTTCTGATTTTATCACCTTGAGACAGGTGTAAGAATTTCAATGTCGGTCCCTCTATAATATTGATATGTAGTTCAGTTTTCATTATCAGAATATGTACTTTCGGCATTGATCGTTGAACTCTTGCACTTTAGTTGCTCTCATTTTTTGTATAAAAACGTCGCGAAGAAAATTTAAGACAGTTTGCTATCGAACGTCCATTCTGAAGAATGAATACTGTGGTGGTATGTCAGATCTAAAGCGTTCATTGATACTATCAGAGTGCGTTCACTGCAGGATAGCTGCAGGATACAGATGATAACAGAAGTTTTCATTATCAATACGACTAAAAGAACGTGAATATGCACGAGCTTCTATGCAAACTGCGATTATATCATTTCGGCATTCATCGACTTTTACGTCAATCTAATCGCTGTGATCTTAACTATTCTTTTAGACTCCATCAGGGTAAACTGTTTTGGAGTCAGACATATCGTCATTAATAAATGCTTTCTCAGACGGCTATAAATTAAATGTGTATTGCATTAGTGCTACATAATCGCATTTTCTAACACATGCGAATGCCTTTATGGAGTATGTAGTATAGAATGTAATGTGAAGGATTTGTAACTCAGTTTCTTAGTTTATTGAATCTTCTAATTCCCATAGAACCTGCGTAAATAATCGCACAACTAAAGAGACTAGATAGTGGAAATGCGCTTTGCAACAGCTAAAACATTGAATCAGCATTGGCTAGACCTCTTGAATGTATTTCCTCATGCCACTTGCAGGAAGTGTGCCAAAATAGTTAGTTGCTTGGATACTTCGATGGTCCGTGTGTACTGATGCTGCGGAAGCCAGGTGAAATCTTTGTATCTCTCTCGTCCGAATGCCTCTGTGTTGATGCTAACATCCGACTTGTTGACGTCTGCGAAACTCAATTCATATTTAAAATCTCTGGCATCCGAAAATTCAGTATTTGGCAGGAACTAAAAACACGTTCGCCATCGATTTTGCGATATTGAATGGGATCGTTTGGCTTTCCTTGGAGTCCATCCACTCTACTGTTTCTTTGTCCATCGTCATCTGTCTTTTTCATGATGTGATAGGCTCATGTATATTCTTATGGATTCTGAAGATGGTATAGCATTCTAGTACGTGAGCTGCAAAACCGTCTTAACGTTGTGTGAGTGCCAAATAAAATAGTTGTCCTTTATCAAACCATTTTACGGGATCCATTGAAACGGATTTTTCACTGGCACATTCGCAAGAAATTCGAATCACTCATCAAACAGGTAAGCGATTGGAAAGGGAGGGCGGTTCTGTCAAGGCCCTATTTCATGGTGTAAATTTGTGGAAGGTGTCTGATAAATGTGAGAAGGTTCAGAATGTTCAGAAAATGAAAGTACTACAGCACTGTGCAAAAACGATGCACCCGCTCATTAACTTTTCTCCAACTAATTAGTATAAAAGCCTTGTTACCTAGACGGTAACCATTTTTTTCCACAGTTCCCCTTTGCGCGAACTTATTTTTGCTATGCTCAGAAAGTATGTATGACCATCAGAACTGAAATGGTAAAAGTAGTTGCTCTCGGGATAAAACGTCGTCTTAAATATCCAAAATGGGGCTGTCTGAAATTTTGCTGTCGGGCTAATTGAAAAATAGAAAAGTGGGCATACCTTGCTTTTATACTCAATTTTGATATTTACAATATTTTTTATGCCGAACTAAACAATTTGCAGAGAAATCGTTGCAGTATTGCACAACTTGTCTTCTCATGCTTATAACAAAGCTTTCCATGAAAAACCGCCAAGTAGTGTATTGTTGAATAGATATAGGAAATTACGTGTAGCGGAACGCGTTAACGCCTCAAAATGCATCGTCATCGTTTGCAAATACCGTACGTTCGAGGGGTGTTTGAACATTTCGATGTCATCTTCAGTTTTTAGAAATTCAATGGTGAAACGCACGAAACTGATATTAAAAAGCAAACGAAAATCTTACTAGTTGTTCATGAATTGCGTGCGATGAAGTGGACCATATTTTTTCGGTAATAATGAATGTCTCTCAATGTATGTAATTTCGGTGTACCATAATCACCGTACAGACGAATATCTTGTCAATAGACCCAATGATGTAGGGTATTGTCAGCTACATGGCTTGCCGGTCGTCGAGCTGAACAAGGCATTCTTAAGGCCACAAATCAAGATAAACCTCCCATCAGCCCGGGTTGGAGCTCGGCTCCACTTCCTCCGTAACGTGCATCATTACCACTCGGCCACGACCGATGTTGGGTATTGTGCAGAAACGTTTGCGTCAGCTGGGACTTGAACCCAGGTTTCACTCTTTCCGAGAACGTGTGCTAGACCGTTGCACTACCGACGCTCGTTTCACACGCCATACTACATCATTGGGTTAGTATTAGTATCACAAAAGTGCAATGGTTCAGCACGCGCTCCCGGAAAAGAGTGCAATCTGGGTTCGAATCGCAGCTGACGCAAGCGTTTATGCACACCACTCTACATCATTGGGCTTATTGTGACACTATAATACTGCAACAGGTGGCCAGATGGAATGATTTTTGATTGATTATCTTGTCACTCTTCAGTCTATTCAGATAACCTTCTTCTTCTCACACCTACTTGACTCGCGAAGCTAATTTTTCAGCTACTGATGATAATTTCTTGTCATTAGAGTATTTTATAAGTTTTTAACTCTATAGTATTACAGAGGAAACTTTGCTGTATGTCACGTCGTATATGTAATCTTCCTACAACATTCTTTTGACTCCAAGTGCGTTTCACCATTGAATTTCTAAAAACTGAAGATGACATCGAAATGTTCAAACACCCCTCGAACGTACGGTATTTGCAAACGATGACGATGCATTTTGAGGCGTTAACGCGTTCCGCTACACGTAATTTCCTGTATCTATTCAACAATACACTACTTGGCGGTTTTTCGTGGAAAGCTTTGTTATAAGCATGAGAAGACAAGTTGTGCAATACTGCAACGATTTCTCTGCAAATTGTTTAGTTCGGCATAAAAAATATTGTAAATATCAAAATTGAGTATAAAAGCAAGGTATGCCCACTTTTCTATTTTTCAATTAGCCCGACAGCAAAATTTGAACAGACAACCCCATTTTGGATATTTAAGACGACGTTTTATCCCGAGAGCAACTACTTTTACCATTTCAGTTCTGATGGTCATACATAGTTTCTGAGCATAGCAAAAATAAGTTCGCGCAAAGGGGAACTGTGGAAAAAAATGGTTACCGTCTAGGTAACAAGGCTTTTATACTAATTAGTTGGAGAAAAGTTAATGAGCGGGTGCATCGTTTTTGCACACTGCTGTAGTACTTCCATTTTCTGAACATTCTGAACCTTCTCACATTTATCAGACATCTTCCACAAATTTACACCATGAAATAGGGCTTTGACAGAACCGCCCTCCCTTTCCAACCGCTTACCTGTCTGATGAGTGATTCGAATTTCTTGCGAATGTGCCAGTGAAAAATCCGTTTCAATGGATCCCGTAAAATGGTTTGATAAAGGACAACTATTTTATTTAGCACTCACACAACGTTAAGACGGTTTTGCAGCTCACGTACTAGAATGCTATATCATCTTCAGAATCCATAAGAATATACATCAATAACGAAACGCATGAGCCTATCCCATCATGAAAAAGACAGATGACGATGGACAAAGAAACAGCAGAGTGGATGGACTCCAAGGAAAGCCAAACGATCCCATTCAATATCGCAAAATCGATGGCGAACGAGTTTTTAGTTCCTGCCAAATACTGAATTTTCGGATGCCAGAGATTTTGAATATGAAATGAGTTTCGCGCACGTCAACAAGTCGGATGTTAGCATCAACACAGAGGCATTCGGACGAGAGAGATACAAAGATTTCAGCTGGCTTCCGCAGCATCAGTACACACGGACCATCGAAGTATCCAAGCAACTAACTAAGCATTTTGGCACACTTCCTGCAAGTGGCATGAGGAAATACATTCAAGAGGTCTAGCCAATGCTGATTCAATGTTTTAGCTGTTGCAAAAGCGCATTTCCACTATCTAGTCTCCTTAGTTGGGCGATTATTTACGCAGGTTCTATAGGAATTAGAAGATTCAATAAACTAAGAAACTGAGTTACAAATCCTTATCACATTACATTCTATACTACATACTCCATAAAGGCATTCGCATGTGTTAGAAAATGCTATTATGTAGCACTAATGCAATACACATTTAATTTATAGCCGTCTGAGAAAGCATTTATTAATGACGATATGTCTGACTCCAAAACAGTTTACCCTGATGGAGTCTAAAAGAAGAGTTAAGATCACAACGATTAGATTGACGTAAAAGTCGATGAATGCCGAAATGATATAATCGCAGCATGCATAGAAGCGCGTGCATATTCACGTTCTTTTAGTCGTAATGATAATGAAAACTTTCGTTGTCATCTGTATCCTGCAGGCTATCCTGCAGTGAACGCACTCTGATAGTATCAATGAACGCTTTAGATCTGACATACCACCACAGTAATCATTCTTCAGAATGGACGTTCGATAGCAAACTGTCTTAAATTTTCTTCGCGACGTTTTTATACAAAAAATGAGAGCAACTAAAGTGCAAGAGTTCAACGATCAATGCCGAAAGTACATATTCTGATAATGAAAACTGAACTACATATCAATATTCACTAGAGCTCAATAGAAATGATGTATTTCCTTATCAAAAGTGTTTATGCAAAAAACACACTGATGTTTAATTGAAATAAGTGTGGTCACTTTTGAGCTTGTTGTGCTTTTCAAATTTTTTCTCACGCAGATGCTGCTTCTGCGTTTGGAAGAGTGCGTGCTTCTGCGTCTAATACTGTGGTCCAGTCCAGGTCGACGTTGTAATATGAGATTGAGTGTTATAATGCGGTTGGGTGACGCTGAACCGTCTCGGAAGCTTTTGCCGAACTGCGGCGACCAACTTCCGTTGTTGATCTCTCGTAGAATCGGTGTTTGTCTACTTCTTGTCGAGCAGTTCCCAAAATATAATTTCCTGTTAATCTCAGCAAACTAAGAGCATAATCTTTCTAGCATGGATCTAGGGCTTCAACTAACTCTTTCAGGTCCATAAGTCGTATTGCCACGCACAGTGCAAATTGCAGTCGGCAAGAGATTTCTGATATTTTATTAGGGCTTTTCGCCGTTCTGGAAATAAACCTAGGGCTTCTTGTGGTAATCCGATATTTTACAATTTACCATACAATCGTATGTTTTGACGCAAATTTAGCGTTAATGTTTAAATAAACCTATCTCTTTTACTACGCATCCACAGTTATGTTGGCATTCTGCCAATTGTAATAATTCTTACAAGGGATATCACCTGTATCACCTGTCGTCCCCTTGATCGTCGAGTGACTCGAGCGGGTACAAGTAACACTTCCATTTTTCCCTATCGCGTGCAAGAGTAGCCCAGTGGGTCCTCCTCGCTCTGGGGGTTCGCTGAGCATCATATCTTCCTTCTAAGCTTTCGTGAAGAATGCGGACCAACGGATCGGTGGTCTTCCTGTAGAGCGCTTGACGTCCCAAGGAATCCAGTAGGTAACGGCTGTCGTCCATCAGTGTCGCTGAAGCGCATCACGTGTCCGGCCCATCTTATTTTCGATATCTTGGCGTGTAGAACGGCGTCTCTGATTTTCGATCGTTGACGTAGGTCGGAACTTCGGATCCTTTTGCTCATTTGTGAGTTACGGGATACACTTAGCATCGACCTTTCGACTGCGCGATCAATAACGCCAAGTGATCTTTCATCCTGCCTACGTAGCAACCAGATTTCTGCTGCATACGTTAGGGCAGGGATAATCTCTGAGTCAAAAAGGTGGACACGGAGTCGGATGTTCTTAGTCCTCTTCAGTACATCTTCGAATGCTCTTAAACGTTCCCCAAACCGCTCGTTTCCCCTCTGCTCAACTCTGGAGCTAGGTCGTTCATCATGTTGATTTCACGACCTAGATAGACGTAACTGGAGCATTCGGAGATTGTCGTTCCATTGAGCGTGAATGGAGCATTCGAAACCCATCCGTTCCTCATGAGCATCGTTTTCGTTAGATTTAGTTGAATACCTATCTTTCACAGGCGTTATCAAGAACGGTCAACATTCGTTCCGCTTGGCTGATAATTGGTGTTATGAGGACGATGTCGTCAGCATAGCGAAGATGGTTTAATTGTCTACCGTCAACTTTCACTCCCATATCGTCCCATTCTAATGCTCGCATGACGCTTTGTAGGGTGGCAGTGAATAGTTTTGGCGAAATTGTATCGCCTTGTCGAACTCCTCTTCTTACGTCAATGGTGATATTGTTGCAGAATGGAGATATTTTGGTCGTGAAATCTTTATGGAGCTCACGAAAAAATCTTTATGAAGGATCATTATGCATCGAGTATGGGGCGCATATGGCGCAGTGGTTAGAGGTGCTTCTGCATCGCGCACGAGGTTAATTGTTCGATCTCGCGCTCATGGCTCGCCAAGCCATTCATCCCTCCGGGGTCGGTAAATTGCTACCAGACTGATCTCAGGCATCTCTTTGAGGATAAGCAGCACTGACTCAGTTCAGCGCGAGGCCACCGCGAGTCATTGTAAAGGCCAGATATGCATTCAATCACCTCAAACAAAGTTAGAAATTGAAGACGAATGCATGGCGCATCCCTCAGGGATTGATCAACACCGAAAGCTTCAATCACATCAAACGAAAAAAATCTTTATGAAGGATCATTATGCACCAAAGTAAGACAGAGTGGTTTTTTGTACTCTCGTAAAAGTGCAATGAATCTAGTAATCGTGTGGATGTGGTCTCAACAGGATATAAGAGATATAGTGATATAAATCTCTCAGCATTGTATATTTTAGTGGATACAACTCTTATAAGTTATAACAATGATTGAAAATAGGAGAACAGTGAGCACTTCGGTGAAAAGATGTTGCAAAGTGCATAAGATATCAGGTCATCGATATGTCTTGCCATAAGTGAGTTTGGTACTTTTCCCTTATCCGCACAATAATTAAAAAAACATTTTTTTTGCTCTTTATTAACATTTTAGTAGTCATTAGATAGCTCAAATTTCATAAATTCGAACGGCCTGCCTTATTTTTGAATGGTCTTTATATTACGCTGCAACAGTGAAATAAAATTTCATTTCACACTCCAGCGTTTTTCGTTGGGCAAGTTTTCCCTAAAAAAATTTAGTAATTATTAGATAATACAGATTTCGGAAAAATTTTACAAAGTCCTTGGCTTTCCAAAAAAGCCTTTTGTTGCGCTACAACACTAAAATTGATATTGCATCTCATAAACGGCGCATACGTTGCACGGCTATATT